GGGTTCATACCAATACTTACACTGGCTTGACCGACATGGGTAGCTACGTTAAATCCGGACAGACGCAAATGAGAAAGTGCTACCAATGTCACTTGAAGACGATTGTACAGTGAGTACTGAGCTCGAGTCATGCAAGAGGGTTTCCGACAAGCAAGATATCGACCGATGGGTCTCTAGCGTTCGGACAAGTGCAGCCTATTGACCGCTGCGTAATAAGGTTGAGGAATGTCAGCCTTAGGAAGGACTCAAAACAGAAGGAGATGAACTGAGGTGGTTCACTTGTTTATGCCAGTCGCCTGGATCGGGGCGACGATCTGCGATTGCATGTGAGCCGAAACTAGAGGGCAAATGATAAAAAAAACGAAGTGGGGGAAGGCCAGGAATTAGGGTTAAAAAGCTGGCGTATAAAAGCGAAGTTGGAACGGAACGATAAAGGTGAAAACCCTAAGAAAGGAATAAGAAGCGAGAAGGGCTGAGCAGTAGCAACTTCACCCATATCCATGCTCGATAAAGTAGATGGGGTAACGCTGAGTATCCTCTGCGACTGCCAGAGCACCAAATGATTTGAGAGAATTCATTGTATTGCGTGAGTAGGATACTATCACACTGCCCAGTCCTAGACAGAAGGACGATTAGGGTCGCCAACCAGTCTCTGCTTCAAAAACCTGAACGCAAGGAAGCCGGAGTTTGACTATGGGCTACACAGTCAATGCGGCTGAACCTTACCGTGCTGCGATCGTTTGCATGCCTCAGAGATCCATTGAACTATGCTCGGTGGTGCTTTCTAGCATCTTCAGAGCCATTCATAACAGACTGGTCAATTGTTAGCCAGACAAACTCAGCCTCCTAGTTTGAGGGTTTGGAATGAGGGTGACTCCTTATTCCGTAAAACGGACTCTACGTAGCCCACCGCCAAACACGATGCCGTGCAGACAGGTTTTTGGAACAAAGGATTTGATTGAGTACTCTAATCACTCTCCTGTCTAGACCTGGGCAACCTGAGAGTATCCTGCTCATGCAATACAATGAAACCTTCATTTAAAAATTTCTTGATGCACTAGGCGGCGCAGAGGATAGTAAACGGTGCCCTAGCTACTGCATCGAGCAGGGTGGATAGCAGTTTGGATACTACTGCTCAAGCCTTCCCATCTTCTTGTTCTCCCTCTTACGTTTTTGCACCATTATTGTCCCGTTCCAACTTCACATGTAGTGTAGAGAAGAATCGATATTGTTTTGGCGCGCGTTCAAAGTTGAATCGTTGCTATAACGGCACTCTCTCCCGTTTGCCTTTCAGAGCGCCTTTCCTGCTCCATTACCGGAGGAGAACAAGAACACGACATTGGTTAACTAGGCTACGTGTTGTGTAATAGAACTTCGTTCTAAGCCCTTGGAGTTCTTCCGTGCTTGCGTACTACAGTAGCACCCCCGTTTTCAACCTCAAAATTCTTGGCCCTCCCCCACTTTATCTTGATAGGCGTTCAGCTTCTATTTTCAAATCACATGCAATCGTGGAGCGTCATTCCTGCCATGACCTAAAGCCCATGTCAAACCAAGCAGTCCACCCCAGTTCAACGGATTCCATTAGGGGCCCTCGACCCTCCTTCAGATTGGCATTCCTCAATGTACGCACATTGCTATAGATCGGTCAATATGCAGAACTTGCCCGAACGTTAAAGACCCTCCCGAACGATATCTGCTGCATATTAGAGACCAGCCTGCAAAAACCCGAGCTTTGTGCTCACTTTGTGATCTCCTTTAGGTGACACTAGCTGTACTTGCTCATTGCGCATATACTGGTGACGATGCAGTTTCGAACACCGTCCATGCCGGTGTTAGTAGTGTCCTGAGTCCGCGGGCTGAAGCGGCCCTGGTTGTTTGGATTCCAATGTGTAACCGGATGCGTGCAGTTCCATTGGCTGGCTCGTTCAAAGCTTCGAAGTAGCGCGGAACTAATAGGTGTCTATTCATCATCGCTGCCTACGCGCCCACAAAATCTAGCGACGATTAAGTCGTCTCCTAAGGCGACTTCTATTGCCAACCGAACGACATGCTCCGTCACAGAAGAAGCACGGACACTGTTGTGCTAGCTGAGGATCTGAACGCACAAGTTGGAAAATTATACACCCATGAACTGCATTTAAGCAACCAAGACGGTATAGGTTCCTGTAATGATAACGGTGAAGGGTTATTGCATTTGTGTGAAGATGCCCGCTTGTTTCTTACGATCATTAACTTCCGACACAGCACCACCGGAGGGTGACTTGGAGCCCACCAATCTCGAATCAGCTCTGGAAGCAAATCGGTCCTAATGCGATGAGTTACCAATGGAAAGGCTGCGTCCAGTAATGTCTCTCGATATGGAGCACATATTTGGACACCGACCAGGCACTTGCACGTGCTGACCTGCGGATGCGTTTTGGCACACACCTAAGACGACGCTGTGAGCGCAATGACATCAGTCAACTAGCGAAGCCAGCTGTTCTGAATGCGTATCAAAGTGCGCCGACATGCGGGTTGAGTAAGTACTCACTGGATGCAATTAAAGCTCACTGGTCTCATATACAGTAAAACCTTACTAGCAGCAGGAAAATCCTCATGTGGTAATGCAAAGAGCTAACATGGACATTAAATCACTTCGCGGTTTCTGGAACTTATCGATGCTCGGCAATTAATTCCGAATGGAAGCGAACACAATGACATCAGGGCAAAACTCCGGGATAACTTGATGAGAGACCGCGAATGCTGGTGGTTTCATCGTGCGCCAGTGATGGAAGTGACCGCTGCACTTGGTAACCATCGAAGTTATTCCGTATGATAAGGGGAAACGGGAAGCAGGAGACCTGGTGTTAGTGAAACTATACGTGATGAGAATGGACAGCCTATCCACAAGTTCTCAAAAGGCTTGGAGTGTTGGGCTGAGCATTTGAAAAGCAATTCAATCTGTCGAAACTGTAAGAATTCTCGTTGGCCACTGATCGCCCAGCTCCCAGGGCCGTACCTTTGGTTTCGCCAACTCGCCCAGAAGTCGAATGTGAGATCGGACTGCTGATGTTGAATAAAGCCGCGGGACCAGATGATCTCCCTCCAGCCCACTTCGAATTCGGAGGATCTGTTCTTGGGGAGGATTTACACGTGTTACTAGTGAGACTGTGGGAGCAGGAAACTGTTCCAAACAACCGGAGCCGCTTCTTCATATACCTAATATTCAAGGGAGGCTCGCGTTCGAAATGCGGCAACAATAGAGGAATCCGTTTGATCTCCATCGCCTCCAAAGTGCTTGCCTGTCATCCATCATAGACTGACTGGCACTCGTGAAAGCCAGATACGCGAAGCCGGGTTTCGTCGAGGTCGTGGCTGCATTGACTACATCTTCACCTTGTATCAGTTGTTGGAGCACCGTCACACATATTGGCGGCCCACCGTAGTTGTGTTCCTCGACATCAAACGTGCCCTCGATTCAGTTGATCGATGTGCCCTTTGGGACTGTCTACTCAGGAAATGTGTGCCCGAGAAATATGTAAAGATTGTCCGAGCATTATACACTTTTAGCTCGGGCAGTGTGAAGGATTACGGCAAGCTGTCGTAATCCTTCAATATCTCCAGAGGTGTGAGATAAGGATGCCCGCTGTCACCTTTCCTCTTCAATTTCGCTAATGTTGAAGTCATGCAGATCGCAGTCATGGGACACCACTTAGATAGTGTGGATCCGCTCTCAGAAGAACGACATTTTAACTTGGAGTATGCAGACGACATTGCCCTCATCTGTGATAGCTCCCAGACGTGCCAAGCTGCACTGGACACATTAGCAATGGCTGTCAGCCGCTCCGGGCTTTGTTTTACACCCTCGATGTGCAAAGCCTTCCATTAAGATTGTCATGGAGCGCCTCCTGCGCTGACCCTCGGTGGAGAGCAACTTGAAGCCGTTTAAAAATTCAACTATTTGGGAAATTGTATCAGCACCAACGGAATCAGAGAAGAGCCCACGAACCGCATAGCAAAAGCTCGAAGCGCTTTTGCTAACCTTCACTACCTATGCAGCCGACGCTTGGAGGGTGACCAATGAGGTGGTACGTTCCACCCTACTGTACGGTGGTGAAATCTGGCTCCTTAGATCGGAAAACATAAAGAGGATAGTTACGTTCGACCACCGGTGCCTACGCAATTTACCGCATCTGGTGGGAACAACGCGCGAGCAACGAGCGCGTTCGACGCCTTGTTTACGGTACAAGAGAAGGAAACGAAGCGCTCAGCAAGGTTATTTCACGCACTTGATTACGATGGGTGGGCCACGTGTTACGCATGCCAGCCCACCGACTCCCTGGACGTGTTGTTTGCGCGCCGGGGGTGTGGATGGAATAGGAGGAGCTGTGGCAAAGTGATGACTTGGTCGAGAAGAATGAAGACCCTCACTTCGAAGCTGGCGTCGGCAAGAACCTCTCGGTTCCTTGGTTGGGGTGCAAAAGAAGATGAACACGTTTGGTTGGATACACTTGCTGACATGGCTAGGAGCCGACCACAGTGGCGTTCGTGATGAGTTTCTTTGTCCTTCCCCATCTCTCTTAGTCACCTCCTCCAACCATGACCTCATTGCTTAGCATAATACAATTTTACATAAGAAATTTTGTTGCTCCATAGTAGCCGGTTGGTTGTTTTCAAGAACGATGCCCATCCGTTACTGGTAGCACAGTTGGCATGTTCTTTTTCTTTTGTGTATTGTGGCACAGTAACTGAGGTGTTTTCCATCTCTAGCTAACGTGTATACTAATGATGACAGCATTTTAAGGAATGAGTTATCATTCCAACCTAAAACTGTAGGACCATGAGACTGAGTTTGTCTGGCTGCTAACCATTGACTATGTTGGTGTGTGACTCTGCGGATTGTTGAGGTACACAAACCATCGAACCGAGATAAGGTCCCGTCTCATTGCGTTGTGAGGAAGTACGAAGCAGAGCGTAAAGCTAAAACTGGCTTAGAGTGCAAATAGCCCCGTTACGTCGAAAAAAAATTATTTATTCATCCAGTTGGTGGGCAAATCAAAGCATAGGAGTAAGAAATGTAAGGGCAAGAATGCTAGTCTCAAACAATGATTGTATTTGACACATGATTTAGCTGGCAAATACAAAAAGATGCTAGTAACACAGCAATGTCTAGGAAACAAATAATCCATCATCTGAATGATCAGAGCACGAAATAAGTGCGGAAATGAAAGGGGAGGCCTAAGTATCATCAATTCAATAAACGCAAATATGGTACATCAAAATGTGCGCTGATTATCTTAATTGCATATTGAATGTCTGATGAAAGTAAAGTTCGAGTAACGGTCAGTGAGCTGAAGAATTTAGAGAAAATACCAAAGCGAGATAAGGCTAAAGGGTGCATACGGCAGCGCGGGGTGACGGGACGGAGGAGAAAGGCGGAGTGACTTGAGAGAAGCAGCGAACACAATCGAGATCGCAGTCGGCTGCTTTCTCAAGTACACTATGATGTTTTAGCGAGAACGCGGTAATAAAAATGTGGAATCGACCATTAGCGTAGCGCCGCGCTACTACGGGTATTCAGCAGGAACCAAACACATTGCCCTAGTCAAGCGTTTGCTGTCGAAACATTGTGTTCGTCGGCTCCAGTATCACTTGTGGTTGAAATCTGTTGAGTAGAAGGCTCGGCGTGGGTTTCTGATCGTAAATTGTCACTAGAAATGATTTCTTCATAACTCGGCGGAGGAGTCTGAGATGAACGCACATTGGGCGTTTGAGAAGAGGAAGTCGCCCGTTCGCGATCATCAGCCGGACAAGTGGGATTCCTATCAGGTGTGAGATGAGATTGAAGAAGCGACGGTTTACACAAGCCCCGTACAAATTCCGACGGTAATTGAAGACCATTCTGGGAACGCCTGTTTGTGTTAACGAAGTCGACCACGGGAGGGACACGAATCACATCCTTGTAAGCTGGGGGTGGTTCGCTTCTGGGAGGCCTACGAAACAGGCAATAAAAGAGAATGTTACTGAGGCGACAAGACAGTGACCACATTAAGTGCTGAAAACAACCAAACTAAACAGAACTCTGTATAACAATAGAGCAACAACATAGTTACGAACCTAGTTACGAACTTAGTTACGAACAGTTAAAGGGGCCAAAGATACGAAAGGACTACAGGCAACAAGCAATGCTCACTTCAATAAAGTTGCCCACAAAGTCACGCGGCTTCGCAGACGTTACTTGAAAACAAAACTTCTCCATAACATTGCAGGGCTGTACACCCTAGCTTATCGTCGAATGCGGGTTGGCCTCATCACGACGCACCGGATATTACATCTGGGAGATTACCCCATGTTGAGGCCGCTGATTCATCTGCACATAACAAGCAGCACACGAGAACACGGTACAAGCTTGTCGTACCGGATTTGAAGCGGGTCGCTCACCAACTCTGTTTCGAACGCAGAGTGGTGAATGTATGGAACGGCCTGCCGCAGCACGTAGTTGAGGCAAAGTCGGTGTCGGATTTAAGAAGTTCCTGGACAAACACTTTGCGGACGCAAAATATACTGAGCGCAACACAACATAACGGGTCTTTGTCCATGAGTGACATTAAATGCAGCTACACAGAGCAAACTCTATTTGCGGCTTCCAACCAGTAATCAGCATGATTGATAAATAAATAAATAAATTGTATATTTACCGACGGACGATACACGGCCCCATAAGTGGGAGCGATCATGTGTATAGTGAACACGTTTCATAACATTAAATAAAAGTTTCGGATCATGATTACTTTTCCTTGAGTCCTAGACCCGCGCAACTCATATGTAAAATTTACGGATGTTTGTATCGTCAGGAGTAGATAATAAACGAAGGGACTATTAGGCTGCAAGGACACAGGATTTGGTATGGTATGTTATGACATGTAGTGGGTAAGCTAGCTGTAAGCTATTATCAAATGTTTTTTATACCAACTTCTGTCAGTGTTTCTAGTGTTTGCTGTGAGTCAAATATCTTCAGAGCATTTGGTATAGTGAGGAAGGTCTGAAGGAGATTTCGAAAGGTGACATGGCTTGTACACATGCGTATCTGTAGGGGTAGTTTGTTCCACAAATAAGTGTATCTCACTAAGCACAAATTCGACCGAGTTTTATGATTTGAAAGGTTCGTGCGTATCAAGTAGCCGCCATTACGTGTGGGGCAGACTGCAGTCTTCCGCAGTTCAAGTGCGGTGCTGTCTGCGTAAATTCGTTGGTTTATAATGTTGTAGAAGAGAACGAGGTTGTTTTTTAAGCGTCTCAGCCAAAGTGGATCCAGTTGCAGTCTTCGACAGCGATCATAATAAGTCAGGTTTGAGCAGCGTCCCATGAGCAGTTTGGTAAATGATCGTTGGACATTTTCTAGAGCCGTTCTGTCTTTCTTTCTCAATTGGCTGTGAAGGATAGTACAATACTCCAGAGTCGGTCGTACGATTGTCTTGAATGATTCAAGTCGTACTTCAGGTAGGGAGAAAGTTCTGGTGATATATCCGCATAGCTGCCTCGCTTTCGCAACCTGATAAAGAACACGTTCGGAGAAATTGAAAGAGTTGGAGTACTTAATTCCTAAGTCCCGAACTGACTCAGATGTTGGGATCACGTTTCCGGCAAGTATAATGGAGCCTTCTGGGATGCGGCATCTGTACCCAAGTACTTGGGATTTCACTGCGGAGAACTTCATTAATAAGCGCTCACTAGCTATATTTAGTGCGGATAGGTCTTCACTGATGTTTCTCAAACACATATGTAGTTGGTCCGGATGAAATGAGTAAACCAGTTTGACATCATCTGCAAACAGAAATGGATGTCCATGTTTGATTGGGTCACATATATTGTTTACATAGATTAAGAAAAGTAGCGGTCCGAGCACATTTCCCTGGAAGACACCGCTGGTTATTGGCTTCGGTGTAGAATGTTGCTGACCGATTTTAACGACCTGAGTTCGACCGTTTAGGTATGAGTCGAACCAGTTAAGCAGCGGATTTCCAATTCCATATGACTCTAGAGCAGACAGAAGTGGCTGGTGTGGCACGCGGTCGAAAGCCTTTTGCATGTCCAACAGAATTATGATAATTGTCATTCCTCTGTCAATCATAGTCGTGATGTGATCGAGAAATTGTAGCTGGCATGTAACGCAGGAGCGTCTTGAGAGAAAGCCATGCGATGAGGAGTTGATCAGATCCAGTCTTGTTAGATATTGGACGATGTTCTTTTTGACTATTCGCTCTAGGGCTTTGGAAGCAGCAGAGGTGTGATTTATTGGGCGGTAGCTTGACATTTGATTTCTCGGTCCACCCTTGTGCTTAGGCATTATAATGGATTGCTTCCATTGAGCTGGAAAGCAACCGGTATTGAGTGAAAGTGTGAAAATGTTTAGTAACAATAGTGCGAGGTTTTTTCCTCCGAGTTTTATAACAGTTGGGGAGATGCCATCTGGACCTGGATGAGTTGATGGTTTTATGGCTGCGATGGCACTTTTCACCTCTCTTAACGTCACAGGGATATTGCAGTAGAGTTCGGTCGTTCTTTTTGGAAGTGGAGGATGAAATGGCTGAATGTTGGGGACAAAAGAGGAGGCAAAACTAGAGTTCATGGCCTCGCATATACAGGAGATATCGCGCGTTATTGAACCATCGTCTAGAACCAACGTTTCAATTTCCTGAAGTGGTTTAGGGGTTCTTCTTTTGAGTAGTTGCATCAATGCACGTACTTTCTCAGGATTTCTGAGTACCCGGCTTTCTTCTTTGGTTTTGACTGTTAGGGTTAGACGTTGTAAATATAGTAAGTTCTCGTGTATTTGTAGCAATGTTGCGAAGCTGTTGTTCCTGCTGTATAGCGATTTGAGTTTCGTTAGTTTTATTTTGGCTTTGGACAGAAGCTTGAGTTCACCCCTATGTTCATGGGTATTTCTAATTACTGTAGGTGCTAGTAGATCCACAACAAGGGAAATGTTGTTTATAAACTCATTTGTAGCCACAGTAGGGTTGTGGGTTAGGAATGACGTATTCCAATTCATGGTACCGATAAGTTCATTAAATGCGTTCCAGTCCACACGATGGAGGTTACGATGAAAAAGATGCGCTCAACAACCACAATGAAAAGCACGAACTTACCTAGTTGATGAAAAACAGAAACAAAACCATAGTAGATCCTTCCATTTCGAAATTTGGCGCTGGTTGGAGAGGTTAGTGACATAAGACTGACCTCGTATTTAACAACGTATCCTTCAGTAGGTTACTATCAATCGTTTTGAGCAATGCTTTGCTCCATCGAAATGCAAAGTACTTCACCGAGATTGGCAGGAACCCATCTCTGCGCTGGCCCTTGGTGGTGATCAAATAGAAGTCGCTCAGGAATTTAAGTACCTGGACAGCTGTATTACCTTTTGTATTGCGGCACATTAGCTCAGGTGTATTCCCCACCCTCAACTAAAGTGTATTGATGTTGACGATGATGATATTGTCTAGACCCTAGGTTTCCGAGGTTCCGAAGGTTTTTGCTACTCCTAATCTGGGTGCGCCCTGAAAACTTTGTGATCTTTGCCGAACTATCTCTCCTAATCGTACACACGAAAGACAATGAACTGTCCTCCTCATCAAACCTACAGCCTTTTCATGAAATGGCTCCAAGTGATTCAAACCTACATTTCTTATCTACTCTTTACTATCGAGTATACTAAGGTGGCGCTGAGCCTTATCCAAAGAATTCCGAAACACTCCATTAGTTCGAATGGTCTTTGCCTGTCCCAACTGCCTTCATATCTGCTCATAAATATCCAGACCCATATCTTTTTGCTGTCGTAGACCAACGGCTGACAGGTTTTTGCTCTATTAACAACAGGTTCGGAAACTTACAATTATACGCATCGTCGATGTCGGGTACCTTCATCCTCTATTCTGCATTACCGATCATTTCCAGTGTTGCTACCAACTGCCTCAGTCCTTGTCACACAAATTGTAATACTACGTAGCCAGAAATGCATCCCAACGTATTTAAACAGTTAGTACGTCTACAAATTCAGATAGTCCACCAAATCCCTTCGCTTCAACGTTAATTCCCCTCGTAATAAGATACACACTCATCTTTTTATAATATCACTCTTTGAACTAAACTTCATCATAGCGACTGAGACATGGTTTACAAACGACACACCTCAGTTTGCTTCAATATTGATCAGTACAATAGTGTGCTCGCCTGTCGAAGCTCAGTATCTGGCGGTGGTTACATTATATATGTTTTCGAACAAGTCTCAAGCATCACTCCTAAGTACTCCCCTTAAGGACAGCAACCTTGACACCAAAATCGCATATCGCTTCAGAAAGTACTTCGATGTCCAGTGGACAGCCTACAAAAACTGGAGCATCTGTTTTGCTACTTAGCAGAAATAATGGTAAATTGTAAAGTACTTGAGGGAATGCAGTATGCCTGATGTTGAATAGATATCGTACAACGCATGTGCTAAATGTTCATGCCTAATGTCTTCCATACATACACATGGATGGGCAGACCATGCCATTCTTCCAGCAGGGATAACCAAATCCTTGATTTGATATTTACATTAGATATACTCCAAACGTCAGCCGTTAGCCTAGACAAAGCCCCAGAAAGCCATCACAAGATGGTCCAACTCTCCTCCGAAAGACTATACTCTGATGCTGTCCCTACTCAGTCTGCGGTATTACATAGACCACACAATTCTCTACACTTAGAATTGTTTTTCACCCCATGAGATCTGTGCATTAATACACTATTTTCCTGACGAATGGTAGCCGATGAGTTCTACAACAATATAGAAAGTTGTCTGCACGCTCTCGTGATATTGTGGTACCGGCGTATTTCCTGTAGAGTAAAATCAATCTCCATCCTCGATAAATCTAGCCACAAACTCACGCGGCTTCGCAATCGTATTTGAAAATGTAGGAGACTTATCCATAGTACTAAAGCAACAAAAGATCAT